CACAGCGGCTGATACACTGTGAGCAGCAAGGGAAAACGCTGAGCGTGCAATGCAGCAAGAGTAGGGGCCAGGCGCAACAGGGACAGGATCTGATTTGCATTTAAGAACAGATCACTCTGCTTACTGTGATTTACCAAAACTGCAAATGGCTACTGACAGTGCCTTCCAAGTAGAAGGCTCTATGACCTCACTGTATCTAACTGCAGGCTTACTCCATTTATTTTCCATTTTTTTAAAACATTTGTTAATTATTTCAAAGTGGCAGAGACAAGAGGAGAAATAAAAGAGACCATCCATCCACCAGTTCACTCTCCAAATGGTTGCAACAGCTAGCACTGGAGCAGGCTGAAGCCAGAGGCCAGGAGTTTCAGCAGGTCTCCCAGGGGTGGGGGCGGGGAGGTTGGAGGGCCACCCACCCAGCAGGTGCTCCAAACTGCAGCTTCACTTTCTGGTACTATTTGCTTGCATTTAATAATATAGTTTTGAGCTCTGTGTAGAGAGTGGAACTCAGCATGAAAATTTTAATTGTATTTACATGAACACTAATGTAAGAATAATTATCTCTGGGCCCAGCGTGATAGCATAGCAGATACAGTCCTTGCCTTGAACGCACCGAGATCCCATATGGACACTGGTTCTAATCCCGGCTTCCCATCCTGCTCCCTGCTTTTGCTTTCTTTCTTTTCCCTTCCATTTCCAAACTGGATTTTAATGAAAGGATACTTAACATGTAAGCCATGTATTTATTCCACAAAGGCTTTTTAATTTTTTTTTGGAGGGGGGGAGGAAAGGCAGAGAGAAACCAAAAGAAAACTCCCAGCTGCTGGCTGACTTCCCAAATGCCTCCAAACAGAAGCCAGGAGCCGTGCAGGCTTTCCCACGAGTGGCAGGGACCCGCTTACTTGGGCTGGAGTAAGGTGTAGAACTGGGACTCAAAGCTAGGCACTCCACTATGGGTTGCAGACTTTCCAAATGACATCTTAAGCACTGCGCCTAACCCCTGCCCCACTAAAGTATGTATTAGCCTTCAAAGAATCATTTCATGCATTATAAAAGTCCAACTGCGTAGGTTAACGGAATTCAGCCGTGACATCTCTACTTGAGCACCATTCAACCACAGAACTGCATAATGTCGAGATCATCACAGTTATGGAAAGCAATGCTGAATTCACCATTCACTAACCCAATTTAAACTCGCCCATGTCACAATCACCAGCCATGGAAATTCAACATCAAAGTTCTGAAAACAGAGGACCACAAAGGAACACCAGAGTGGTCTCAACAGCCACACAATCAAGGGTCACTACCCACAGATGACTTCAGGAAAAGGCCATCCTCTTCCACCATATCCGTGCAAGGACCAGCACTGATGCATCAGCTGGCCTCACCCAATGTGGACAGAAAAGCAGGTTTAAGTATGAGTTGGTCTAAAGATAAATAAATATATAACTCATAGGCAAGTATGAGTTCAGGAGCCAGCACTGTGGCATGGTTGATTGAGTCACCAGCCAGAACTGCTCAGAATCCTACACGGTGGCACAGATTTGAGTCCTAGCCTCTTCGCTTCTGATCCAGCTTCCTGCTAACCTGAAAGTGGCAGTTTGCACAAGTTCTTGAGCTCCTGCCACCCATATGAAAAACCCAAAAGCAGTTCTGGGCTCCTAGCTTCTTTTGCAGCCATCTGAGGATTGAAGCACCAGGTGGAAGACCTCTCTGGGACAGTCCCTCTCCATAACCTTGAATTTCAAATAAATTAATCTTTCTAAAAAGTGAAAAATCTTTGAAATTCACTCACAAAAGAGCTCTTCAAAACTTTCATAAAACGTATATTATGAAAGACGTGCGGATCACAAAATTTTTGCATTAAAATCAATTTAACCTTTAAATTTATTTTTCCATAAACATTCTGAAGCATGATGGCAAATGATTCAAAACAGATTAATTGAACAATGTAGCAAAAACCTAAGGAAAGTGCAATAAATCTGTTTAAATGTCAGGATGAGTTATTTAGAGTACAGGTATAATTTAACATGTTGTTTTCAATTTTCCCTCTTACATTTGCACATATTGCTTTTCTTAACAGGTCAAGAAATCATTAAGCAATCATTAACCAAGCTAAAGCACTACCAAAGCCAACACACAAAGCTACATTTCTTTTAGCTGAAATTCCAGTTCAAGTGCCATAGGAAGATCCAGGGACAATTTCATTACAACTCTCAGCAGTATGGGTTACCCTTTGGTTTGGACACTTGATAACAATGAAACCCCAAATGCAGCCACAACCAGGAGCAGTCCCTAACAGAGTGCCAATTCAAGTCCCACTGCTCTGAGATCAAGCCAGCTTCCTGCTAGTCTGCCTGGGAAAGAAGAGGACCCGTTGCCCATGTGGGAGGCCAGTATGGAGCTCCTGGCTCCGGCCGTTGGCCTGACCCAGTCCTGACTCTTGCAGCCATTTGGAGAGTGAACCAACAGGAAGATCTGTCTCTCCTTCTCTTTGTAAATCTGCCTTTCCAATAAAAATACAATCTTTATATACAAAATACATATAGCCATTATTTATTCCTTTATTATCTATGTATTAGAAGCAATTTCCTACCCAGTACTGTGGATGCAGAAATTAGTGAGGGTACAGTGCGCCAAGGAGTTGACAGTGAAACTGGAGGAACCCAATAAGCCAACTACTAAACCAAGGAGCCCCGCTGAGAGGGGACGCCTCACAGCTCCAGGGCAATGAGCGACAGGAACCTGCGGCAGCTGAGCTCACAGGCTGACCCCATCCCTCAACCACTGCAGCCAAAATCTAACCACAGACTGACCAAACACCTGCACGCTCATGGAAGGTTCATGCAACGCAGCTCACTCAAAGACAAATTAAAATTCAAATGAAGAAACTCTGTATTCAAACACTTATTAAAGCATAAGCCATGCCAAGAACACTGCCTCAAACCAAGTTACAAAAACAAGTAAAATTCAGTTTCCACCCTCAAAGAACTCTCACACACACACATACAATGTAATTCCACCCTCTTAAAAACAGAAATGTAACATTAATGGGAATGCTTATGATATATACCATGTACAACTGTATATATAATTCTATTTAACAGATAATAGGAAAAGGCCATTAAAGATGAGAGCCCGGGAATATCATAAGCGTTAAGAGCTAATTTGATGTCAGGATGCACACATCCTCATAAAAGAGGTCAAATTACTTCAGGTTACAAAGCTAGGTTTGGAATACTGGGTTCTGCCTCTCCCCAGGCTCAATTACAAACGCACCCGTGCGTACATGTGCATGCGTGCACACATACACACGCACAGAGGGCCAGAAAAGTACAATTAGAAATTAGAACAAACATCAGGGCCCAATGTAGCTTAGTGGCTGAAGTGTTCACCTTGCACGTGCTGGGATCTCATGTGGGCGCCAGTTCTAATCCTGGTGGTCCTGCTTCCCATCCAGCTCCCTGCTTGGGGCCTAGGAAAGCAGCTGAAGATGGACCAAAGCCTTGGGATCCTGCACTCGCACAGGAGACCTGGAAGAGGCTCCTGGCACCTGATCAGAGCACAGCTCTTGTCGTTGTGGCAGCTTGGGGTGTGAATCAACAGACAGAAGATTTTCCTGTCTCTCCTCCTCTCTGTATATCTGACTTTCCAACAAAAGTAAATAAATCTTATAAAAAATCAGAAACAGCAGATATCTGAACCTAAGATTTTATGTACACGCAAAGAACTGCAGGTTATACAGCTGCTATTTGCCCACATACTTAATTTTTAAATCAGTCTGCCAGGAAAATTAAAAAACAAAAACAGCAACAACAGAAAAGCTTGTATGAGGGCCACTGCACTTTATAAATAAATACATTATGGAAGAATATATGATCAGCTTCCCTACTGTCAGCAAGTCACTATATGGAACCAGAGCTGAGGCACAGCACATTAAGGTCCTACCTACAACACCATTACACCCTATGGACACCAGCTAGAGCCCTAGCTGCTCCTTTTCTGATCCAGCTCCCTGCTAATGTGCCTGAGAAAACAGCAGATATTCAAATACTTGGATTCTGACAGCCATTAAACTCCCATTACACAACTCAGTGAGACACCCAGATGAGGCTCCTGGCTTCAGCCTGGTCCAACCCTTGATGCTGCAGCCATCTGGGGAGTGAACCAGCAAATGGAAGATCTCTCTGCTTCTCCCTCTTTGTAACTCTGGTTAGAGCTGAGCTGATCTGAAGCCAAGAACCAGGAACCTCTTATTGTGTTTCATGTGTGCAGGGTCCCAAGTACTTGGGTCATCCTCAACCCTTCCCCAGGCCACTAGCAGGGAACTGGATGGGAAGTGGAGTAGTCGGGAAGTGAACCAGTGCCCATACAAGATGCCAGCACTTCCATACAGATGATTAGCAACTGAGCCACTGTACCAGCTCCCAAAAATGCTTATTTTCTGATCCTTCACAAAAAGGCATGAGATCAAATGACAACAATCTCACAAATGGCAGAAAAATAAGTAGCTTAATCATTTTGATCCTATTTAAGATTTACTATGAACTCCCAATTTTTCCTTCCCTTTCAATTCCTACCACTTAGTAAATACTCAATTTTTTAATTACACTAATGTAGTCACTCAACATAAAATGTTCACATTTCCATTGTTTTCTTCAGAGTAGGTCTTACTTCAAATGCCTAATAATTTATCTTTCATAAGCAAAATATTATTTCAAGGAATTTCAATTATCTGCTCACATACTTATCTTGCAGTAGTATAACCCAATAGACAACCAAGAGTGAAAGCAGACATAATGGCTATTTGGACTCGATAAATCTTAACAGCCACATCACACTAGAACATGACGGAGTACCCTCTTGGACCCACAGCCCAGGTGTCCCTTTAGGGCTTATTTACAAACACAAATTCCCGGGCCTCATTCAAACCCCTAAAGGGGATTCTCAGATAGCCAGAAAGCTCGGGAAGCACAGCACACCAAGCGCATAGGACCTACCTTGAGTGTGAAAAGGCTGATGCGGCCTGGGAGTTTATAGAACAGTCCCTCTCCTCCTCTTGAATTGGAATGCAGCATGGCATTGAGGCACGCCAGAGGGGAAGTCCCGCTGTAAAATACAACAGGACGGATGGAATGTACAAAGCTATCTGCCTGCTTGGTCAGAAACCTCATCCTCCAACCCCGAGTGAGGGGAAACAGAGCTATGCAGGAGTGTCAGCGCATGGAAACAATCCTACTGGGCTAACAGGAGGACTCACCCAATCAATCCCATGCCTACCTAGTACCCTGGGATCAAATCCACACCTAATATCTCTTTGGGTTTTTTCATTTCATGAGTCAAAATTTCAGAAAATACAGAAAAATGTTCAATTTTTTCAAATTATACTTCAATTAGAAATTTGAATTAAACTTTAATAAAACCTCTAAGAAAAAAAAAAAACAACAATGTAAATGTCCTAGTCTGCACACTTCGTGCCCAGGTCTACCCTGAAACCTTACCAACACAAGGGCCACAGAATCAACGGCACTAGCCCAATAAAGCAAGCACATCTTTCTTCCCAGTTAAATATTCTCTACTAAGCACACAAAAGCAGCAGCATTTTCATTGGCTTTTTTTTGTTGTTTCGAGGGAGACAGAGGAGTTTCATTCTACGTGTAGGCAAGAGTAATCATTTAAATTTGGAAGTCAGACATAGGACTTGGGTATACTTAAATGTTAGTCTAAAAAAGATGGTGTGTTGTTTCACAGACTCTGAGACACAGGAGATCAGAAAATAACAATACAACCAGGCAGAGGCGCCTATCGAACCTTGAAGCACAAGAGCTGTCGGTTGTATAGGCAAATCCCTACTTAACACCAGTCGCTGGTGCTGAGTGAGGCTCACCCGGGCCCTTCCTCGTCCTCTCCCCAACTTGGCAGAAACACACAAAGATCTGGGGTAAAGCCTCTGAGTAGCTTTTTTTAAAGAAAAAAAAGAAAAAAAAAAAAAAAAACTACAGGCCCTAATTTATGCAGAGTGTTAAAAATAAACCAAGCCTTTAAAAAAATATAGTCATTAAAAAAGCCTATTACCTATTCTGCTTGGAACATACTGGATGCTGCAAACAACTTTTTTAAACCAAGATCCAATCTGAATCAATCTCTAAAAGATCCCCTGGACAGAAGCTGGAGTATAGGTGGGTGTGCCAGCACGCCTGCTCTCAGGGAACCGCAGCAGGCATGACGCCCACACTGCGCCTGTCTGCAGGCAGAGCGGCTCACTCAACACAAGCAGCTCCAGATTCTTACAGAAGGAAGCAGCAGAAACTAGCTAACTATGAGGCCCAATCCCATCGACCCCAAAGCACAAAGTTACCTTCTACAAGCAGAGTCCAAGAGCAGGGCAGGCGACAGCACCATGGAAAAGAGCCCACCAATAGGAGGAAAAAAAAAAAAAGCACAATTACAACACTGTTCAGTGCAGACATACAAACCCAGTGCACATTCAATCCTTCCCCGCACGACACCCACTGGACAAGGTCTGAACCAGCACCTGTGGAGGTCAAGTCAGGCAGCTGAGGCTGACAAGAGGCTCAGGAGGAGGCCCCCCTGTGTGTCCCTCCAACCTCATTTAGAAATGAAAACAAACCAGAAGGCAGGGTGAGTACAGGGAGAGGGCATTAGGGACTGCCCCTGGTTTTCATGACTTGGTGCTTCTCTAGAAAAACTACATCATAAATTAAGAACACTGGCTAGCAGCAGCGGGAGGAGAGGGCATGGGCAGAGGACCTTCTTGGAGGCTGAGGACTCTCCAGTGGGGCAGCAGAGGAGGGCAGCAGGACCGGTCAGCCCGCTGCTTGCCCACACTGAAACTGGCCACACCAAGCTCCAGAGAAAAGCACCCTAGTTCGCTCACTTGTGCTCATTTGTGTTTCTCTCTCTCTCTCTCTCTCTCTCTCTCTCTCTCACACACACACACACACACACACACACCCTCATGTAACCATAAAGACCCCTTCCTAAGAGACTCTGGGCCTGCACCAAGAGCCATACAAACCTCATCTCCTTCAGTCCTTCTGCCTCTATGACCTGCAGAATTTGCTTCGGTGTCATTGGCGCGTCCGAGTAGTTTTCTAACACCTGAAGAGAAAGAAACGGCCTGATTTCAGCGAGCAGCCTCCATGCACCTCTACCGCTGTACACCGCACCAGAAGGGATCGCCAGGGACAACTTAGTTTTTCTGCAAAATTAAATTACTTCAGAAACCAAATTAGTGCACCCTCTGTTGCTCTACCTTTCCAACAAAATAATAAATCTTTAAAACCAGGAGGCGCTCCAGGTGTTGTGACAGTGACACCAACAACCGCATGAGCTACACGCCAGCTGCAGTGTGGGCTGCTCCGCTTCCAACCCTCTTACCCACGAATGCACCTGGGAATACAAAGGAAGATGACCCAAGTCCATGGGCACCTTCCACCCACACAGGAGACTCGTATCTGGCCCAGCTCTGACTGTCGCAGCTATCTGAGGAGGGAACAAATGGGAGGAAGATCTCATTGCCTTTGTCTCTTTTTGTGAACAATACTGAACCTTAAAAACAAACAAACAAACAAACAAAGTGTGTGCTCCGGTTACTAAAAGTGACTACAGTTAGCGGAAATGCTCCCATTCTCAATGCTAAGGACATAGTACAGTATGTGACACTTCACATCCACCCAATACAGGGCTGCTACACAGCCAGCTCCGACCCAAGCCAGCGACGCACTCAGGGTTACTCTCCCAGGGGAATGTGACTAGTGCCCATATTTTTTTTCCTTTAAAGATGTTATATATTTTACTTTTTATTTAGATATTTATTTTATTTTTACTAGAAACTCAGATATACAGAGAGGAGGAGACAGAGAGGAAGATCTTCCATCCGATGGTTCACTCCCCAAGTGGCCGCAATGGCCAGAGCTGAGTCGAGCTGAAGCCAGGAGCCAGAAGCCTCTTTTGGGTCTCACACACGGGTGCAAGGTCCCAAGGCTTTGGGTCATCCTCAACTGCTTTCCCAGATCACAAACAGGGAGTTTGATGGGAAGCAGGGTCACCAGGATTAGAACCAGCACCCATAGGGGATTCTGATGCATACAAGGCAAGGACTTCAACCACTAGGCCCTAATGCCCATATTCTTATCGGTGCTGAGACTGTGTTGTGAAATTCTGTTAACATGAAGCTAAGATTCTGGGTTCAGCGCCGTGGCCTAGCAGCTAAAGTCCTCACCTTGCAGGTACCGGGATCCTATATGGGCACCAGTTCTAATCCTGGTGGCCCCACTTATCCAGTTCCCTGCTTGTGGCCTGGGAAAGCAGTTGAGGATGGGCCAAAGTCTTGGGACCCTGCACCCGCATGGAAGACCCAGAAGACATTCCTGGATCCCGGCTTCGGATCATTGCACCACCAGTCATTGCGGTCACTTGGGGAGTGAATCAATGGATGGAAGATCTTCTTCTCTGTCTCTCCTCCTCTCTGTATAGCTGACCTTGTAATAAAAAATAACTAAACCTTTTAAAAAAAAAAATTCTATAGGACTTGAAGGCAAAACCAGACAAATGGGATGTCCTGTTTAAGTCGGCAGCATGGGACATCTCCATACTCTCCCCACCTCTCTGCAGCTGCTCTAGTTACTGCGCATCGAGAAAACAGTTCGCAGTCAGCTAACCAACTACTGCTCTGTCCCTGGTAAAATGTAACAGTCTTACGGGCAGTCACTCTCTATGAAAGGACATAAATCCTTGGCTTAAGTCAAGGTTTGGAGATGCAGACCCCAAAGTAGAGCCCCTACTCGCCACAACCCTCTTCCCAGCCTCTCATTTCTCCTTTGGTACATTACCCTTGAGCAACATTCTCTGCCATCTCTTCCAGTGTCAGCTACTGCCGGCACCCAGGGAACTCTCAGAGCTCCACCTCCAGCCGGCCACTTCTCCACAAGCTGCAGTGAGATACCCAACCTGCGCACCTCACACACTCCCCTGGCTTTCTATTCCTAAGTCAGCAGCTCTCCTGCATCTTCCCTCCTGCAGTCTGTCCAGTCACCTCACTCAGAAATAAAGACACCGTGGGGCTAGCACTGTGGCACAGCGCATTAAGCTGTTGCTTATAATGCTGACATACCTTATGGGAGTACCATCTGAGTGCCTGCTGCTCTGCTTCCAATCCAGTTCCCTGCCATCACAATTGGGAAGGCAGGAGAGAGCTGCTAGCCATATGGCAAGTTCCAATGGAGCCCCAAATACCACAGCCACTGGGTGAAGGACCTGGTGGATGGCCATGCTCGCTATTTCCCTCTCTGCCTTCCAAATACATGAATAAACAGGGGGATGAGAGAGACAAAGGCCTGATCCTTCCACTCCCACCTGCACCCCAAATTCCACAGCCCTACTTGATCCTTCACTGTCACTTCTTCACCAATGTCCTGTACCAACCCTACCCTCCTTGGACCCCCTTCTCTGCTGCCAGCCTGCATTCAGCAAACACAGGGCACACTATTCCATGCCAGGCATGGTCCGATGGATCCCAGGAACCTTCATGCCTGAGGTCACCCCAACAGCAAACCTGTGCCAGTTACTCTCTTGCTTTCCCCATCTCAGACAACAGGCACTCAAACACCATAGGACCACCAGGAAAGCAAATGCTTCGGACCCAGACAGGCCTGCATTCAGTCTGGTCTCATCAACTGGGTCAAGTTACACACCCAACCTGAGTCAAGGACCTGACTTGATCAGGTCTGGTGTTGTTGGAGAAAGTAGCACATGGAACATCGGCATGCCCTCCTGGCACGGGGCTAGGCTCAGTGTGCCCACACCATTCCACCTTAGTGCATGTCCGGTACTGCTCTCTCCTCCCGGGGCTGTCTTACAGACCACACAACACCTGGCAGTCCTACAGTTCCCAGCCCTGGACTGCTATCCAAAACCCTCTCCACAAATGGGGTAGCCCAACAGCCACTTGCAGTCTTCCCCAGTTCCCACACTCCACGTTCTCTCTGCTGCCTCTTGTCACTACTGCTGATGGCTTTGTGATGGGCCTATCTCCTACTGGTTCTCCAGGACTCAACTCAGAAGGCACACTTCCCCCGGAAACCTTCCCTGATTTGCTAGGCAGTTACAAGCCTGCTTGCAGAGATGCCACCGTTCCACAATGCAGAATTATCCTCCCAACCAAGACTCAGGAGCACGAAAGGAAGAACTAGCCTCAGCAGTGGCTGGCCAGCAGGCAGGAGCAAGCACGATCTGCTTGCCACTTACGCCTCATGTCACATTCTGCTCTGCTGGTGGCCTGTCTGCAGAGGCAATCCATCTCTAAATTCCAAGAAGGCAGCAAGTGCTGAGTCGGGCAGGGCTGCATGAACAGGCCTGCAGCCCAGCCTGCCTCAAGCTACCCGGGACAGTCACCAGCACCAGACTGCAGGCCTAAAACCGTGAGCCAAGCTTTCCAAGTTTTGCAGGATAGTTTCTTTCTAAGAAGCAAGAAAATTAGCAACCGGTTGTTTTAAACTGCAGCCAGCAAGAGCCTGAGATTCCAGCAAGGGAAACACAATCTCTAACGGGAAGTTACATCAAAAGATATAAAGTATTCACTTTATTAAAACTGCATATGCCTCCAGTTTCTAGCACAGGAGCAATTCAGCAGTGTTCTATTCCTAGCCTGGCTTGTTACAGTGTACATTTTAAGCAAAGAAAGTATCTCTTCTACATCAAGGGGAAATAATTGTTGGAGGTAGGGACGTTCAATCACGAATCAGAGTGAACGGTAACAGCTGCTCCAGTGGCCCTGAAGCCCGCAGCAAGAGGAAGTGCGCTCAGCTGCTTCTCCCCCAAACAAACGGCCATGTGAAGCAGGGCGAGTCACAACCCGGGGGATTCAACCAGCCAACTTCCACTTCTCCCATCCAGAAAAGCAACAAAGACTGAAGAACAAAATGTCTGAGAGGAAATTCTCTCCTTTTCAACAAGACTGACATCTGAAAAAATCCCACCTCCTAGTGGAAGGCCTACTGACAATCTCGAGGATCACTCCTTTAAATGCAAGCAGCTTTGAAAAGGTTCCCAGCCTCACTCCAATCACCGATCTGAAACCGCCACAGGCAAATGCTTGCGCATACCACCCCCAGTGCTTTAAATCCACTCCTCCAGAGTTAGAGCACCTGGGAAGCAGGTGAGGACACTCCCCAGCCAGGGCTCAGCATTACTTCTACTTTCTTTCTTAATGTAAAACTAAAAATTCCCCACACCTCCCAGACAGTTCCATGCAAAAAGATGGGAAATTCTGAAACAAAAAAATGTGCCAGACACCTGCAAAAATTACACACTACATTCCTGCAGTCCCCTTCCACCTAACTACACCCCGCAGTAACTCCTGTTCCTAGGCCTGCTCTCTAATGAAAAGGGAAATCACTTGCTTGGATCATCTGGCCAGAAGGTGAGTCAATGACACAACAGAAATAGCAGCTTTGATGCCGAGTTCTGACCACAGTCAATGCGGGCTCCTAAAAGGTTTCACAAAACAGCAGAGCTGCAGGTTTTAACTAGTTCAAGCCAACAGCGCCGAGACTTTAGAACCGCCAGGAGCCAACAGCAAGCCCGCACTGAAAGGTACTTTCCCCAGCCTACCGCCTAACAAGCACAACTCTGGCAAGCACACTTCCCTTGGGTGCCCAGAGCCATAAACACCCACACAACAGAACTCAAGTTTCAATGAACACTCAAAAC